ACACTCTATCAAATTAAGTCATTTTATTCACAGAATTTGCCAATAACAAAAATCAACTAAAACCTACCACATGATTTTGCTTAATTTTCTCTTGATTAATCCTTGGCTTGTGTTCTTGCTTTTTGTTACTTTTAATTTGGACTACCTTTTGGAGATGCCTTTCTCAAGTTAGATCTTGGGCTAGTTTTAGGTCGATCGCAAACTTTTGGGCCTTCTTTCGACAATTGTAATTGCATAATCGGGCCATACATTTATGTCCTAAATTAGTTGGTAATTATGGGTTTGACAATGTGGATTGTTGGGAATTTTCAAAAAATATATAAAATCAGGAGTAATGCTATTAAATACTACTTGTATTAAGCACCAATTTACATAGTAACTCTATAACAATAAATGATATGTCTACTTAAATGTAATATCACATGATTCATTTAATTGATTATATCAAATGTATCAACTTAAACTGGTGCAATAATATCATAGGTTCTAGATAGCGTTATTCTAAAATTAAAGTGAGCTGCTATTTAATTACATTCGTCATTATTATATATATCATACACTATATGCATCCGTATTAATATCACAGGTTCTAGATAGCGTTATTCTAACATTTTTAATATAGCTTTAGAATTATTAAAATATATTATATATAATAATTGACACTTGAGACCTTTTTTAATAATTTGATTAATAATAATTAAACCTTAAAATCATGATTTTGCTTAATTTTCTCTTGATTAATCCTTGGCTTGTGTTCTTGCTTTTTGTTTCTTTTACTTTGGACTACATTTTGGGGTAGCCTTTCTCAAGTTAGATCTTGGGCTAGTTTTAGGTCCATCGCAATATTTTGGGCCTTCTTTCAACAATTGTCATTGTATAATCGGGGATTGTTGGGAATTTTCAAAAATATATAAAATTAAGAGTAATGCTATTAAATACTACTTGTATTAAGCACCATTTTAGATAGTAAATCCATAATATTAAATGATATGTTCATTTAAATGTAATATCACATGATTCTTTTAATTGATTATATCAAATGTATCAACTTAAACTGGTGCAATAATATCATAAGTTCTAGATAGCGTTATTCTAAAATTAAAAAGAGCCACTATTTACATTCATCATTATTATATGTATCACACACTATATCTATCCCTATTGAAAAT